GTTTAACTGTCATGTTGAAAGACTGATTTTCATTGTCCCTGTAGTCATATACAGTATATGCCACAGCAGATGCTGCCTTTTGCCAATCTCAGAATACCACCCATGAGCACTGCATCATCATAAAGTGAGGAGGATTATGGGCATGTTTCATATGCATATACACTATACGTATGCGTTACACATATACGTTTGCATATACATACATAAACACACATCTATGAATCCATATTCATAGAGACATACAGTACACATACATATACAGTTGTGCTCATAAATTGACATGCCCCTTGCAGAATATGCAAAATGTTAATAATTTAAAAAAATAAGAGGGATCATGAAAATTGCATGTTATTGTTTATTTAATACTAAAGTTTACATACCCTTGAATCTTAATACTGTGTGTCGTTTCCTGGATGATCCACAACTGCCTTTCTGTTTTGTGATAGTTGTTCATGAGTCCTTCGTTGGTCCTGAGCAGTTCAGAAAAATCCTCCAGCTCCTGCATATTCTTTGGTTTTCCAAACATTTTCTGCATATTTGAACCCTTTCCAACAGTGACTGTATGATTTTGAGATCCATCTTTTCACATGGAGGACAGTTGGGGGACTCATACATAACTATTATATAAGGTGAAAACATTTAGTGATACTCAAGAAGGCAACACAATGCATTAAGAGTTGGGGGTGTAAACTTTTTGAATTGGATGATCAGGGTAAATTGAAGGCAACACAATGCATTAAGAGTTGGGGGTGTAAACTTTTTGAATTGGATGATCAGGGTATATTGTACTTATTTGGACTTCTGGGAAACATTTAAGTATTTATGTAGCTTCTTAAGTGCAGTACCAAATGAAAAAAATATGATATGGGGATATAATATGGGGATATAAACAAAATAAGAAAAATTTACACATCAACATCCTGTTACAGTCATACATACTCATACAGTCACTGTTGGAAAGGGTTCAAATATGCAGAAGATGCTGGAAAACCAAAGATTATGCAGGAGAGTGGAGGATTTTTCTAAAGAACAGCAGGCAGTTGAACTGCTCAGAACCAACAAGGGATGCATGAACAACTATCACAACACAGAAAAACAGTCGTGGATCATCCAGGAAACAACACAGATTATTAAGATTCAAGGGTACGTAAACTTTTGAATGAGATCATTTTTATAAAATCAGTTATTATTTTGTCTTGTGGAGAATATATAAACATCTGTGAAATGTGAAATAGCTTAAGGAAAGTATTAAATAAACAATAACATGCAATTTTCACGATCCCTCTTATTTTGTTAAAATTATTAACATTTAGCATATTCTGCAAGTGGCATGCAAATTTATGAGCACAACTGTATAATGACTGTACATAATCCATTACATGTATATATACACACATATTCCTACAGTATATATTATACATTGGAATGAATGTGAATGTCTCAACAGTGGACAAAGTGGATCAGGCAAGACCTGAGTCCATTACCTGAGTTCCATGTATCAAGGCAGAAATGATAAATTACGTCAGGTAAATCAATTTATCAAGACATAAGGAAAATTAAGACATAATCGCACAACTCAAAAAGATAATCTCCCTCTCATCAGCCAATGGATGTTTTACCCATTCTTGAGAGCTTTGGTAATGCCAAGACCATACTGAACAACAACTCTAGCCGATTTGGAAAGTACCTGCACATCCACATATGCCAGTAAGTGTACTGCATGTTGATTTAAGGGGTAGTGAACATTAAATGAACATGATATGATCTCCCTTTATTTATTTTTTTAGTGGTGTTGTTGTTATCTAATATCTCCTTGAAAAATCAAGAATCGTCTTCCAGGTTAGATGTTTATTCATTAACTTGCACCTTAGTACACCTGCAAGCAATTAAATTAAACTATGTTCCTTTAGGCTAAGGAGGAGAGAAACTACCATGTGTTTTATGAACTGTTGGCACAAGCAGGATCTTTACCTGCAAGGAGCTGAAACTTATTTCTACCTCAACCAGGTAAAATAAAAGCCACTTAAAAGCCTATTAGTTTATGATATTTGTCTAATATTCCCGTTTTAAATGCTTTTAAGGGCAGGGCTTGTGAGCTACAAGGGAAGCATGACAAGCAAGACTTCCTGCTTTTGGTCCACTGCTTGGAGACCATTGGTTTACATGCAGATCAACTTGCAACCATTTGGGCCATTCTGTCATCGATCCTGCAACTGGGCAACATTTGCTTCAGCTCCTATGAGGTGTGGATGCCTGGATTACCCCTTTTAAGGACAGCTTTAGCTTCTAGGAACTTTGAAAATGTGTATGCTTTAAGCTGTGTGTGTTTGTACCCCCACAAAATTAGAGTGAATCGTTTGAGGTTGCCCGTATTTTTAGTGAAGCCGAAGCTCGGAGAGTGGGAAACCTCTTGCAGGTGTCTGCCGAGGCCTTACAGATGGTCATCACACACCGGGTGACTGTGAGCAACTCATAAACACACTTACCCAAATACACATTTCTTTCCATGCCCTCGGATTTAAATGAATATTTGGGGTTCAATATAACTTAAACTTTGCTGTTTTTTTTTTATTGATAATAAGAAATGTTTCTTGAGCACCAATCATGTGACACTGAAAACTGATGCAATGTATCTTTAGCATCACAGGAATAAATTACATTTTGAAATATATTAAAACAGAAAAAAAAAATTTTTACGGTGCTTTTGTACATTTGTAAACTTTACATTTATGCAACAATATATTATCCACCCAGAATATTACTTTAAAACAACAGAAGTCATTTGTTTTCTCAGGAAACAACTTATGATATAATCTACTGTCCTCTATCTGTGGAAAGTGCCACTGAATCCAGGTTAGAAATCCCAGGCAATAAAACGTAATTGAAATGATTAGATTCTATAATGTATTACATACATTAACCCGTAATAGAGCTGATGAATACCGACAAATTGCTCTTGATTCAGAGATGCCATTGCCAAGATGCTGTACTCCGTGCTGTTTGTCTAGATTCTTGAATGTATCAATGAGTGGTTGATTCTCAAAGAGATGGACAGCACCATTGGAATTGTTGATATATATACGGCTTTGAGGTATTCTGTCCCTCATTATGACCTTAAAGTGACAGTTTTACAGTTACATTTCTTGTTGATTGTCTTTTTACATTTACAGCTGAATCATATATATACGCAAAGTGTCACTGAATTCCCACTTGTTAAGCCTCTTTAAATATAGCAAGTCTGTGGGAGAGAACTGAACAAATGTGCATTACAGGACCTGAGTGTGAACAGTTTCGAGCAGCTGTGCATAAACTTTGCCAATGAGCAGCTGCAGCAGTTCAGTGTTGCCAACTTAGTAATTTTGTTGCTAAATTTAGCAACTTTTCAGACTACCCTAGCAACTTTTTCTTCCAAAAGCACCTAGCAACAAATTGAGCAATTTTAAACATTTATTTGGCAACTTTTAGCAACTTTTGATAAGGACTCAGACAATGAAAAGGCACACATTGTCCATCCAAATTACACAAAAAGAGGAAACCACAGATGCCTAGCAGTACACACATCCCGAGAATTGAGTTAGCTGCTATTTGCAATTGTTCAATTTAATAATAATTGAATAATTTGATAATTGAATAATTGTTCATTTATGATACACTTTGTTAGTAGCTTGTACCTGCGATTGTTGATCAGTTAGTACACTGTAAGAAAAATGGAAAATCTTTCAGGACATTATCCATTATCCTTTGTAACCCTGTAACCCGAAAACACAATGCGTAATTTAAAATACAGGTAAAAAAAAAACATTACAGAAAATTCTTTCATATTAACAGTAGATTGTGCCTTATTTTT